TCTGGAGGCTGAAGTGGGAGGATTGCTTGAGCCCAGGAGTTGGAGGCTGCAGTGAGCTATAATCACACAACTGCACTTCAGCCGGATAGACAGACTAAGGCTCTGTCTCAAAAAAAAAAAAAAAAAAAAAAATTATTTATTTAGCAATTCTGCTAGGCAGGCATCACAGTAGGACTGCTTCTGTGGTTCAAAAATTATCTTATCCTTCTGATTTAGTAGGTTTGGATAAGGCCCTGAAATTTTAAGTTTACATGGCAATTGCAAGGATGAACCAAGCTTTGTGAACTATTACCTCATATATCAAAACTAATTTGTTTGGGTCTTAGGAAAATAGCATTGGAGAATAATGGGAAAGTCATAGCCTTTGAACAGATTCCTTACTCTACAATATATTAGCTCCATGGCCTTGGAACGATTTCTTCATCTCTTGAGTCAAGGTTTCTCATTGGTAATACAGAAAAATCTGTGCTCCCAAGGTTATGATGTGCAAAGCATATTATCTAGCTGTGCGTGAGCAGAGTATGAAATTGATAATCCACTTAGACAATATAAGAAATAACTTTTAGGCATAATTGCAGTATCTAAGTTTGACAAAAAGTAAGCTTTAGTATACCAAAGGCAGTAACAGGTGCATAAACGTAAATATACATATAGTGGAAGTACCTACTACTTTACAGATGGGAAGATGATCAAAAGTTGAGATCATTATTCCATGCCATTTAAAACTTTAAATTTTAATTCCTCTCAAAATCAATACGGGACACAACTTTTAAAAGACATTATCAGGCTGGGCGCGGTGGCTCAAGCCTGTAATCCCAGCACTTTGGGAGGCCGAGACGGGCGGATCACGAGGTCAGGAGATCGAGACCATCCTGGCTAACCCGGTGAAACCCCGTCTCTACTAAAAAATACAAAAAACTAGCCGGGCGAAGTGGCGGGCGCCTGTGGTCCCAGCTACTCGGGAGGCTGAGGCAGGAGAATGGCGTAAACCCGGGAGGCAGAGCTTGCAGTGAGCTGAGATCCGGCCACTGCACTCCAGCCTGGGCGACAGAGCCAGACTCAGTCTCAAAAAAAAAAAAAAAAGACATTATCAGACTAATTTATGGATAATTAAACCTTGAAAATAAGTTTGATTACTAAGTCAGCTGGTAGCTGTTAAGCTTAAGGGTGGGTAATCAATTCTAGTGTATGAATCTTTTTTTTTTTTAAAGACAGGGTCTCATTCTGTCACCCAGATTGCAGTGTGGTGGCACAATCTCGGCTCACCACAGCCTTAACCTCCCCACCTCAGCCCCTCGAGTAGCTTTTTGTATTTTTTGTACAGACGGAGTTTTGCCATATTGCCCAGGCTGTCTCGATCTCCTCAAGAGATCTGCCCACCTCGGCCTCCCAAAGTGCTGGAATTACGAGCACAAGCCACCGCACCCAACCATTCTAGTGTAGCATTATTGGGTTTGAATCTGAAGTCTTCTCCCTAGCCGCTACAGCTACATCAAGCTATTTATCCTCTGCTGTGACTCAGTTTTGTTAAATTCAACACATAGCATACTAGGCACTTAAGTGCCATACATCATTTGGTACTACCCATTCCCCATACCACAGTGGGTATCACCAGAATTAATTGGAATAATGTGTATTAAATGCTTAGAATTAACAAAGTAGCAAAGGCTATAAAGGATCAAGTTTTAAAGAGTCTGGAGGTGGACTGTGTCTGAATCCTGGCTTTTGCCACTTACCACTGAGCAACCTTGGTTATTAACCCCTTCTATGCCTTAGCTTTCTCATCTGCAAGATGAGAACAGTACCTATCTCATAAGGTTGTTGAAAGATTAAACCAATTAATACATGAAAAGCACCTTCAACAGTAGCCAGCACCTAGAAAATGCTCCTGTTAGCTATTCAGTCACACAGTGCTCACCCTGGAGAGAAGGCACTCAGCCAATGTTAGCTATCGTATATATATACACACACATATATGTATAAATACCACATATATATGTGTGTGTGTGTGTATATATATATATACTCTTTTTTCAAAACAGAGTCTCACTATGTCACCCAGGTTGGAGTGCAGTGGTACAATCTTTGCTCACCACAACCTCTGCCTCCCAGGTTCAAGCCATTCTCCCGCCTCAGCCGTTCAAGTAGCTGCAATTACTTGTCTTAGGTTTTTTTTTTTTTTTTTTTTTTTTACCAAATTATGTAGTAGTGCTAAGTTTTTAAAAATGAAATGAGCCAGGCGCGGTGGCTTATGCCTGTAATCCCAGCACTTTGGAAGGCCGAGGCGGATGGATCATGAGTCAAGAGATGGAGACCATCCTAACACGGTGAAACCTGTCTCTACTAAAAATACAAAAAATTAGCAGGGCGTGGTGGCAGGCGCCTGTAGCCCGGCGACTTGGGAAGCTGACGCACAAGAATTGCTTGAACCTGGGAGGCGGAAATTGCAGTGAGATGATGCCACTGCACTCCAGCCTGGGCAACAGAGACTCCATCTCCTAAAATAAGACATAAAGGCCGGGTGCCGTGGCTCACACTTGTAATCCCAGCACTTTGGGAGGCAGGCGGATCACGAGGTCAGGAGATCGAGACCATCCTGGCTAACACGGTGAAACCCCGTCTCTATGGCCGGGCGCGGTGGCTCAAGCCTGTAATCCCAGCACTTTGGGAGGCCGAGATGGGCGGATCACGAGGTCAGGAAATCGAGACCACCCTGGCTAACACGGTGAAACCCCGTCTCTACTAAAAAAAAAAATACAAAAAACTAGCCGGGCGAGGTGGCGGGCGCCTGTAGTCCCAGCTACTCGGGAGGCTGAGGCAGGAGAATGGCGTAAACCCGGGAGGTAGAGCTTGCAGTGAGCTGAGATCGGGCCACTGCACTCCAACCTGGGCGACAGAGTGAGACTCCGTCTCAAAAAAAAAAAAAAAAAAAAGAAACCCTGTCTCTACTAAAAATACATTTAAAAAAAATGAGCCGGGTGTGGTGGCGGGCGCCTGTAGTCCCAGCTACACGGGAGGCTGAGGCAGAATGGTGTGAACCCAGGAAGCGGAGCTTGCAGTGAGTGGAGATCGCGCCACTGCACTCCAGCCTGGGTGACAAAGCAAGACTCCATCTCAAAAAAATATAAGACGACGACGACGACATAAAAAAACACCAGGAGGATGCCAGAGCACCTCCACTATTGCTAAGTGGCCTTAGATACTTGGTCACTGGATGCTGAGCAGCTTTAGGTGAAGATGGTGGTCACTGAGGATCAGGTAATCATGGAGAGCTTCTCAGCATCCTTCTTTTCAATGCTTACAAAACAAAGCTTAAAAGACGCAATGTAGCTGGGAAGTTAATTGGGGTGAAACTATGGATTACGGCTGAGCCACTGGAAAAATGTACCACAGCTGAGTGGGCTGACCCTGGTGAGCTCACTACTTTGTCATTGCTGCTGGCCGCCAAGGACAATCATCCCTCAAGGACTATGTGATGCCGTTTTCACGTTGTCTTACGGTAACTTGACAGGACGTCATATTCCTGGTATTAGATGCCAATATCAGGTTAGAAACTACACTGAAGTCTTCCCGTTTCCCACCTCAACTGCACTGAGGTCATACTGACTAGGTGAGCATGTGGCTGTTTTCCAGCCCTGACAAACTAGTGTCAAATAGAAAAGCATAAATATAACCCACCACCATTAAAAAATAATAAGGCAATGTCCTAACTTTAATGTACAGTAGTTGATTTTCCAAAATACTGACCAACTCTTAAACGTTCTAAAAAAAAAAAAAAGCTGCCAGGTGTGGTGGCTCACTCAGGCCTGGGATCCCAGCAATCTGGGAGGCCAAGGCAGGCGTATTGCTTGAGCCCAGAAGGTTCGAGACTAACTTGGACAACATGGCAAAACCCCATTTCTACAAAAGATACAAAAATTAATAGGGCATGGTCGTGCATACCTGTAGTCCCAGTCACTCAAGGAGGCAGAGGCGGTTGGATCACCTGAGCCTGGGAGGAAGGTGGAGGCCACGGTGAGCCATGATAGTGCCACTGCACTCCAGCCTGGGTGACAACGTGAGACTGTCTCCAAAAAAAAAAAAAGACAAGAAAAAGGAAAGTATAATTATTCCCTCAATTTACATGGTACTTGTGTACCTGGGAATTCAGTATGTTAAACCATGCAAAAAATACTTTGTATTTACATAAATTGGAGTTAGGAATGAAAACCTGTATACACAAATTATGGAACACCTTAAGACCTGTAACTCATTAGCTTGTTGTATTTGGAATCTAAATGTTGCAGTGGTGGCTCAAGCTTGTAATCCCAGCACTTTGGGAGGCCAAGACGGGGGGGATCACGAGGTCAGGAGATCGAGACCATCCTGGCTGACACAGTGAAACCCCGTCTCTACTAAAAAATACAAAAAACTAGCCGGGCGAGGTGGCGGGCGCCTGTAGTCTCAGCTACTCGGGAGGCTGAGGCAGGAGAATGGCGTGAACCTGGGAGGCGGAGCTTGCAGTGAGCTGAGATCCAGCCACTGCGCTCCAGCCTGGGCGACGGAGCCTGACTCCGTCTCAAAAAAAAAAAAAAAAAAAAAATTCCCAGCACTTTGGGAGTCCGGGACCAGCCTGGGCAACATGGCAAAACCTGTCTCTACCAAAAATACAAAAATTAGCTGGGCATGGTGGCACGTGCCTGTAATCCCAGGTACTTGGGAGGCTGAGGGAGGAGAATCACTTGAACCCAGGAGGTGAAGATTGCAGTGAGCCAAGATCGAACCACTGCACTCCAGCCTGGGTGACAGAGTGAGACTCCATTTCGGGGGGGGAAAAAAAAAGTAAATCCATGGCTTGGTATCAGTATCAATCATGTATTAATAAAGCTAAATTCAGTATGAAAATGCACCTACCTAGAAAATCTTGTTTCCCAAAATTCTCTGCAGGTTACTTGAAAAACAGAAAACAGCATAAGCTAGAAAACCCTAAAACCATCTTAAAATAACTAAAGACTAACCACTCATTTACATATTTTTATTTGGAAATGTTTATATCAGCACAAGGAAATAATTTTGGAGACACTGGATGTCATTAGTTTATTATAAAAGAGAACTATGGAAATTATTTACATGATGAAAGATTTCAGAACTTCAGTGGAATGGGCAGCTTCATGTTGATGCCATTTCAATAGTGATTTATTTCAGTCTAGGTACTTTCCAAGAATGTCACCATCTCTAAATAGGAAATAATCCTGCAAGTGAATAAACCGTTAGTTAAGACACCTAATCGCAAATATTTGACTTCTTTTTAGAATTGTTAAGTTTACACACCTTGTCATCTAGAACTACTTTGGTGCCTCCATACTCTGGCAGAAGAACTTTATCTCCAACTTTCACGCTAACCGGTTGAATCTCTCCACCCTTAAAAAAGGAAGGATGTTTATTAGCAAACATATCTAGTTCACCCAACATAAACAGTTAACTTTTAAATCACTACAACTAATGAAACACACTCACTCAAATTCAATAATATTAAAAATACACTTGGTGGCTAAGTGATACGATTCATACTAGAATTGCAGATCTTCACTCAAAAATACCACTGTAGTCACACTTTTGAAATAATACACAGTGGCTTAAACTAAAACCTGACTCCAATATAAAAGTTCAAGAAAATATTCTGGAAAAGCTAACTTTACTTAACTAAAGCTAACTTTGTAACTGTTAAATATTAACGTAACTTATCAACTATATGAAATAAACCTGCAACGGTAGCCAGCACCCAGAAAATGCCATATACAAATGGTCATCTTTTCCTTCAACATACAAAAATGTAATATTGTTTTGTTCCCTCCAAAGTACAGATTTGGGGAAAGGGACTGCAGCTAAGTGTCCACTCCCCAAAGTCTTCCTATTCCTTCCTAACTCCATGACAGCTCCTCAATACAGCTTTCCTCCTCAGAAGCAACTGGAACAATGCAGCTAACATTATTTGGCCCCAACGGCATTTAGGCATTTACTGTGTATTTTGGCTGACATCTTTAGAAGCCTAAGGCCTAAATAGTTAACTGAGGAACATCTAAAACAGAGGTGTCCAATCCTTTGGCTTCCCTGGGCCACAGTGGAAGAATTGTGTTGGGCCACACATAAAGTACACTAACATTAACAGTAACTAATGAGCTTAAAAAAACTTGCAAAAGAAATGTTTTAAGAAAGTTTAGGGATTTGTGTTAGGTGGCATTCAAAGCTGTCCTGGGCTGCAGGTTGGACAAGACTAACCAACCTGTTCCTCGAATAGGTACACCAACTAAGGCCCCAACTGGTTAAGATTAGGGCAATGTCAATGTGTTAGGGGTTAAACGAATAGTCCAAGATTCCTCTCAATTCTTAAATGCCCCCTCATTTTACCTTGAAGCACATCTTTTGTCTTTATTTATTTATTTAGATACTAGGTCTCACTATGTTGCCCAGACTGGTTTCGAACTCCTGAGCTCAAATGATCCTCTTGCTTTGGCCTCCCAAAATGCAAGGATTATAGGTGTGAGTCACCATGCATAGCATCTTTTGTCTTATTAAAAATTTAGAATGTAAGGCAAACACTGATCATACTAGGCTACCAAATTGCTATTGAAGGCTTTTTTCTTTTTGAGACGGAGTCTTGCCCTGTCGCACAGGCTGGAATGCAGTGGCGGGATCTCGGCTCCCTGCAACCTCCGCCTCCAGGGTTCAAATGATTCTCCTGCCTCAGCCTCCCCAGTAGCTGGGATTACAGGCGGATGCCAGCACACCCGGCTAATTTTTCTATCTTTAGTAGAGACAGGGTTTCACCATGTTGGTCAGGCTGGTCTTGAACTCCTGACCTTGTGATCCGCCCACTTCGGCCTCCCAAAGTGTTGGGATTACAGGCGTGAGCCACAGCGCCCGGCGTATTGAAGACAATTTTTAATACTCGAAACTATCACATAAAATAAACATCATAGCATTGGTCATATAAAATAAGCAACTTTATATTAGTCATTTCCCTTTAAGAAACAGATTAGAACCAAAGCAGTTAATTATCTTGGACATGACATAAATTCTACCTAATAGGAGACTTTTAATACTCCAGAATTACTCCTTTTCCCTCCACTGCACACTATAGAAAAAATAGTTCCACCGCAGCCCCCATTTACCTTTCCTTTAGAACCCGATCCAACAGCGACTACTGTTGCTTGCAATACTTTTCCTTGAGATTTTTCTGGAAGCATAATGCCTCCTTTGGTTACAGTTTCAGCAGCACTCCTTTCAACCAATACTCGGTCAAAGAGTGGAAGAAACTTTCTAAACGCTTGTCCTGCCTGTAGGAAGAGAAATGTTTTGAAACAAAAACTAAATGTAATCATATTATCAACAGGCAACGCCACCGTGTTGTATACATCTCAACACGTTTTGGCTTCGAAAGTTAACACCAAACCTCAGCTTATTCGTTAAGGAAACGCATTTGAATGTACTAACCAATATTCCAAGTTTAATTCCCGATTCCTTACATCTGTTAAGGGTCGTTGTCGCTCCTCTGGTGAGCAACCAGACCAGCTTTAAGGTCAACCTTAGTTTATTCCAAGGTCAAATGTTTTCCTTCTTCAGGGTTTTTCAGAAATTTTCAAGAAACGCTGGGTCAATCTCCCTGCCTGGCACCATGCTTTTTACCCAAGATATTACACATCCACAAAGGCCCTGCAGAGCAGGTGGGACGCTGCGCTTGCATCCGGGTTCCCGCCACCTGCCTTACACACCCGCAGCACACGCGCGTGCAAAGAGCCCCCGGAGAAGAAAAGGGTCGGGCAGGCCTTGCCGCTCCAAGGTGCCGGCGGGCGCTGGTCACTGAGTGGCCACCAATCCCTCCCGCCTAGCCCAACAAAAGAGGGGCGTCAGTGATCCCCGTACGCCTCAGACAGGCCCGGGCCTGCGGGCTTCGGTGCCACGCGGGACTCACCATGACTCCCTCCGCCTCAGACTCGTACTCTGCTCTAGTGTAGCGCCGCAAGGAGAGACTCGCGGCGCAGCCCTGGCGACACGTGAAAAAACCGCCCAGCGCGCAGGCGCGCTCGCCCCAACCCCCGCCGCTAGCCCCCTCGCCCCTCCCCGCGAGAAAGGGCGGTCGCCCCGACGCGCGCCGCGATTCGCCCCAAGGGCCCTGCGCAGGCCGCTGACGCGAAGACTCGGAGGCGGAAGAAAAGAGGAGCTGTTTCTAGGCTTTTCTAGGCGCCCAGCCGAGGTGAAAGAACTACCCCTTCGTCCCCTCCCGGAAATGACGCGATTTTACCCTTGACCCGTAGGGAGCGCGGCACTTTCCGGAAAGTTCTGGAACTGAGCACGGCCCGGGAACTAGCCTAAGCCGGCGGGAGAGGGCTGAGCGCGCTAGCACACCCTGCGCGGGTAGGGAGGGGCGGGGCTCGCGCGCAGGGTGTGCAGATTGCAGGGGCCCGGCTGACGGGAAGGGGGTGGGAGCTGCCTGCACACGTGGTGCCCCGGGGCGGGGGGAGAGGCGGAGGGAGGGGACACGGGCTCATTGCCGTGTGCGCCCTGCACTCTGTCCCTCACTCGCCGCCGACGACTTGTCTCGCCGCGCGCACGCCCCGCCGCCGCCCCGCAGGTATGCGGCCTTCCCACGCCGCCTTCCCCGGCGCCTGCGACCCCCAAGTGGGCCTTCCTCCTCTGCGGTCCTGCTGGAGGATGCGGGCGACGACAACCTGGAGTTCTGCACCGCACCGCAGGCCCAGGCCCACGGGTCCAGGCCTCCCGGGTCCATGCGGGTTCCATCACGTGCGACGCGGATCCTGGACCTCGGCTGGGCGCAGGAGGGACAACTCACGGGGATTGAATTTGGGGGATTGTAGCCACTTAGGCCCGCTGGTGCAACCCGCGCCTGGTCGACTTCGGGGAACCGGGGAGGGTGGTGTACGCGAGGGAACCGCTTTTTTCCCCCGCAGCTAGCTGGGATACCGCGCCTTCACTCTTGACCTTGCTGGGGGCGTTCGGAAAGAAGGACACGTGGGCCCGCGCCGAGTGGGCCGGGCCGCCGCCCCCAGCATCGCGGCCTTGCTGGCTGCTCTGATACAGTAGCCTTGGGTGGATCCATGGAGATACTTTGCTGAGCTGCTTTTTGCACCGCCAGGAATACTTTCAGCTTCCCTGGTCACTGGGATTTGTAACTTGCCTCTCTCCGGCTGACTTGGTTTCTCAGGGGCCACAGTTGGAGTGGGTCTGCCCACAAGGCCGTTTTCGCGGTGAAAGATTAACTCGTTTTTGGCGGCAGGGATAGGTGGCCGTGGGGAAGGAGCTGCATGTGCTTTGTGCTAGTGCTATAGGTCAGGCGCCGGGGCGGCTCTTTAGCTTGCGGTAGTGGCTGATGTTCCGAAGCTGCGGCGCCTTCCGTCATTCAGGTGTAGTGGCTGGCAGAGGTCAGCCAGGCTCACCATCTCACGTTGCTTGCTCTGTTGCACAGGTTCGCATGTTTGTGCTGCAGCGCAGCATAGGTGGTAGTACTGATTATCTATTTGCTTCCATCCCCAGAAATGCTTCGGTTACCCACAGTCTTTCGCCAGATGAGACCGGTGTCCAGAGTACTGGCTCCTCATCTCACTCGGGCTTATGCCAAAGATGTAAAATTTGGTGCGGATGCCCGAGCCTTAATGCTTCAAGGTGTGGACCTTTTAGCCGATGCTGTGGCCGTTACAATGGGGCCAAAGGTATCAGTAAATTTATTTTATTATAATTATGGTAGTATTAATAGCATTTTGCTCACAAATAGTCGCACTGAACTGTTGAACAGTACTTTCGTATCCATTTTTGAGAACTCAGTTTACATGTAAGAATTCTGAAGTATTGGTTAACTTTTTTTTTCTTAGACATGATCTTAAAGCTTAAACTGCTTCAGCCAGATTTTCGAAACTAGTTTGTTCAATGTGTGATGTAATCGGGTAGTAACATAGCTCAAGATGGATTCTTAAACTCGAGGTAGAATTTTGCTTGCCTAAGTTAAAATTTGGATCCTTTCTGAGTAGTTCATGCCAAGTGTAGAGAGAAGAGTTTAACTTATCTTCCATAATCCCTCAGGTATGTGCTTGTAGGTGCTAAATTTTTTTTTTTTTGGTTTATTGTAAAATGTACACAACATAAAATTACCATTAAGTGTGCACTTTGGGGACATGGGGACATTAATTACATTTATGTTGTGCAGTCACCACCACCATCCATCTCCAAAACTTTTTATATGGGAAAATTGTAATTTTGTACTCATTATACAGTAGCTTCCCATTCTCTCCTCCACCTCAAGATGCTAGTTTTACCTATCGGTTTTCTGCTGTTCTCTTGTTCCGAAGCATATTTAAAATAAGTCTCATTTAATAGGGGTAATATTTTGAGGGGGGCTTTGAAGGTGGTGTGCGGTCAAGTGGTACTTCATTTCAGTTTGAAGACAGTTCAGATATCAAGTGATCCAAACAACTGCATAAAACACAACATTTGCACACCTCACGAATAGAAAGTAGCAGCTTTAGTTCAAATCCAAAGGATGGCCAATAACTGTGCCATGGTTGAAGTTGTATGTTGAGTGAACTTGGAAGAGCACACTACTTGCCTTGATGGTTAATATTTTAAACGAATTTTAAAACAAGTCACATTGCTTTAAAGGATAACAGGCACTAACTAAAACTTAGGTATAAGTGATAGGAAGATTGTTTTATTCTTTGTCTTGTGTTCTTGTTCATTTTATAAGATGACAAATTTTAGTCCCTAGTATTTTAATCTTCTAAATTACTTAGTTCAAAATTATGCTCTTGGCAGAGAAACAGGTCATTCTGTCTGTAGACAAAGAATGTCGATAAACTTGCCCTTGAGATTCATGCTGCAAGACTGATAAAAATGACACAACTTATGTGGAGACTTTGAAGTAGTTGCTTTATTATGAAGACTGCTCATTTTTTAAAATATAAGTAATCCTTAGGGTATGTGTGATCCTGTTACATTTTTTTTCTTGTAGGGAAGAACAGTGATTATTGAGCAGAGCTGGGGAAGTCCCAAAGTAACAAAAGATGGTGTGACTGTTGCAAAGTCAATTGACTTAAAGGATAAATATAAAAACATTGGAGCTAAACTTGTTCAAGATGTTGCCAATAACACAAATGAAGAGGCTGGGGATGGCACTACCACTGCTACTGTACTGGCACGCTCTATAGCCAAGGAAGGCTTCGAGAAGATTAGCAAAGGTGCTAATCCCGTGGAAATCAGGAGAGGTAGGAATGTCTATTGTCACTACAGTGTTCTAAACTTCAGTGTGCTTTAAGGCATTGATTCCTTGGAGCTAAGGAGAGTGTCTGTTACTTTAGGAAATTGATCCTTCTCTCATTCCTCTTGGCCTGGAGAAATCTTAAACTGGGTTTTTCTTTAGCAAGTAGTGATTGAATGCCTGGCTGTATGGTGGGTAGGTACTGTTAGGTAATTTTGATGTTTTACTTAGTTGGTTTCTTTTGTTTTTAGAGACAGGGTCTTGCTCTGTAGCCTAGGCTGGACTGCACTGGAACTCCTGGACTCAAGCAATCCTCCTGCTTCAGCCTCCAAGTAGCAGGGACTACTACAGGCACTCACCACCATTCCTGGCTAATTTTTAGTTTAGTTTTGTAGAAAGTAAGATTGAATACACTGGATCATTCAGAATGTCAGAAAGTAATGTGTTTTTTTTTTGTTTTTTTTGTTTTTTTTTGTTTTTTTTGAGACGGAGTCTAGCTCTGTAGCCCAGGCTGGAGTGCAGTGGCCGATCTCAGCTCACTGCAAGCTCCGCCTCCTGGGTTCACGCCATTCTCCGGCCTCAGCCTCCAGAGTAGCTGGGACTACAGGCGCCCGCCACCTCGCCCGGCTAGTTTTTTGTATTTTTTAGTAGAGACGGGGTTTCACGGTGTTAGCCAGGATGGTCTCGATCTCCTGACCTCGTGATCCGCCCGTCTCGGCCTCCCAAAGTGCTGGGATTACAGGCTTGAGCCACCGCGCCCGGCAGAAAGTAATGTTTTCCTCAGTTTATTTTTTTTTATTTTTTTGAGACAGTCTCGCTCTGTCCCCCAGGCTGGAGTACTGTGGCGTGATCTACGCTTACTGCAAGCTCCGCCTCCCAGGTTCACACCTCCCAAGTGAACCTCCTGCCTCAGCCTCCCGAGTAGCTGGGACTACAGGTGCCCACCACCATGCCCAGCTAATTTTCTTTATTTTTTAGTAGAGATGAGGTTTCACCGTGTTAGCCAGGATGGTCTCGATCTCCTGACCTCGTGATCTGCCTGCCTCGGCCTCCCAAAGTGCTGGGATTACAGGCATGAGCCACCGCGCCCGGCCCATTAGTTTATTTTTTCTTAATAGCACACACCGTGTTATTGGTTTGTGTTTTGTTAGTGCTTGTAACTGGAGTGCAACTTAATTAACAGATTTGCTCCTCAGCATGAACTTCATGGCAGTGTAGACTTTAATTCTAGTCCCATCTTTGTCATTTATTAGCTGTGTGCTAAGACTTGGTTTTCCTATCAGCAGAATTGCTGTGTATATCCAGCGTATGTTAGGGTTGAAACCAGGAACCCTCTTGTGAGTGAAGGTGGGGGAGCTATTGATAATTTTTTGTCAGAATTGGCATACTAATGTATCATTACCTCATATATTTCAATGTTTATGGACCAAGTGACTACACTTCACTAAAAGCATTTTTTTTTTTTTTTTTTTTTTTTTTTGAGACGGAGTCTCGCTCTGTAGCCCAGGCTGGAGTGTAGTGGCCGGATCTCAGCTCACTGCAAGCTCCGCCTCCCGGGTTCACGCCATTCTCCTGCCTCAGCCTCCCGAGCAGATGGGACTACAGGCGCCCGCCACCTCGCCCGGCTAGTTTTTTGTATTTTTTAGTAGAGACGGGGTTTCACGGTGTTATCCAGGATGGTCTCGATCTCCTGACCTCGCGATCCACCCGTCTCGG